GATAACATCTGATAAGATTCGATAAGGGGCCTTAGATGCGGAGGGTCACCAACTTTGTAGGGCAGGTTGCAGGGTCTGTGGGACCTTGGTTCAAAGAAGTGGTATAGGGGGAGGAGGGCGGGAACCCACTGACGGGTGACAGCAACTGATAAGGGTTGAAAGCGTCATCATGCGGGAATCCGCAACACCGCTTACTGCCACAATGCGATTGATATGACAGGTATCAGGCTCTCAGTAGTTCGTACACAACTCACTCCTAGGCTTTATCGTATTGACATCATGTACGGCCGCTAAAGCAACTGGAGTTCAGATGCATGACGGTTGTTTACTCAGTTGCCATGAACTGCAGCAACTAACTTTATCACTATGACCATATTATCTTTCATCAACAACCCGAGAGAGGACCATTCGAAGCGCAAGACTGCCGAATGCGGGAGTGCATTCCAGAAAAAAAAACCCTACAGTGGTGGAGAACGCATTGAGCGGTAGGATGCTTCGAAGGCTGTAGGTTGCTGAATTTTCGTGTGAGGATATGAAGATTTTTGGTACTAACTCCGAGAAAGGGCAGCGAGATATTGGTTCCAAGAAGTGACGCAGAGGGTGTAACGGGAACGCTACTGGGGTCATAGGAAGTGAAGTTGATACCAGTTGATAATATCTGATAAGAGGCCTCAGAATGGAACTCTCACCATATTCGTAATGCGGGTCACAGCATCAGCCAGGTGTTGATTCCAACATATGATTTAGGGTATGGGACAGGAACATTATTGGTGGATGACAAGAACTGTCAGCTGCTGATAAGATTCGAGGGATGTTAGAAGGGTATGGTCACTGAGTCCATCACGCGACAGTAGGAGGTTGGTTCCAAGATACGATGTAGGGTTTAGGAAAGGAACACTAGGTTGGTGACAAAAACTGCCAGCATCTGATAAGATTGGATAAGGGGCCTTCTCTTTCTTTCTTTTGATGTCATTAGAATTTCGGAAGTAACAAAGCACTGTATGTTGCACGATCCTCTGGCCAGATTCAACTTTAACCCATTGCTCGAGCTATTTTCAATTATTTTTCTACATTTTGCTGGAAAATGCACTGTGACGGTTAGGCGTATTTTGCACACTCTACCTCGCCTAAGGAAAGAGTGCCTGGCGAAGCCGGGCCGTGACAAAGAAGGAGGAGCACCCGGCGGCAGCCGGGTGATTCGACTGGTTAGATATACCACATTTGATACAATGCAATGTCATCACTAGAAAGTAAAGTGTATTTCGCCGCGGATGGTTGGGCGTGTTCGGCGGGATGAGCCTTTCGCGGTGCCAAACCCGTTCTCCACCAGTTGTTAAAGCGAGCAAATGATATGACTGTATCATATCGTTCGTATTACTCGTTTTCTACCACTTTTTGTCGCATGCGCGCTTCAACAAGAAGGCAGAAACGGCTCTGACAGGGTGACACACTCATACTGCCTGACACGCCCAACCCCCCGCAACGAACTAAAGTGTATCTGCCTTTAGATACGATATAGTACGTCAATCGTGAGACGACTAATCGAGGTTGCGCAGCAGATATTTAGTCCAATTGTAAATACCTTTTGTCTTTGTTGCAAGACGTTGTGACCGAGATAAGCCATCACCGACATTCTCTCATAAACGCTAACCAATGAGGATGAAGATTATCTGAGCGTTATTCTGTTTGCAGTTGGCCCCAAGACCTAGCAAGCCTTTTTCGATAGGCTTGAAAATCGATTTACATTTTGGCTCATCACCTGAAATGGGTATTCCGTTCCAAACAGTGAGACCTTCGTAGAAATTTCACCGCAGCGATTTGTTCTTTCTAAATTCTCCTGATTTGCTGATCGGCTTACATTTGTTTGACCGCCCAGTGCTGCTTTTCGTTGCGGACAGTTTTTTCTTTATGTAAAAGGAAGGGACTCATGTGCCTCTGAGAACCGCAACGCACGACTATAGTTTGCACAACAGGTGCTGTAGAAGTCGAAGGAGCCCGGCTACCGAGTCTAGCCTTCCACACTAATCGCAGACCTCTCCGTTACTGAACCTAATGCTTTATGTACCTAATGCTTCATTAACCTAACCTTTGCGAAAACCGCCTCTACAAAACTCGTCTATTGTAGATCGTCAGAATTTTACATAATAGGGATAGGTTCATCTGCTTCTCATTAATAATAACCTGTAAATTGTAGTAGTCGGATACAAGAAAAAAAGTTAGACGGCGGAGATGCTGACACTCCGCGACATAACTGTCAATATCGCGAAAAGAAAGAAGAAAAACAGGTGAATCATACTAATACTGGTAAGGTGACGTAGGATAAATTCGAGGTTATTCACTCCTTTTCAGATCGAAAGCAAGCATTTCGAGCCCCAAAAAAAACTTGAAGGGAATTTTTTTCAAAACACTTGAAGCATTTAGTCTTGTGGTTCACGGTTGAACGTGCCGATAGCGGCTGGACGGCTTAGCCTGTTAGACGTGCCATAGCCAGACGTGTTGTAAGGCTATGGCATAAGTGTGGCTCTGGTGGCGTAAAAGCACAAGACAGGGCACTCGCCCGCAAAACGTGAGGTGCGGGTGCCATTCGCGTGACGGCCTAAGACATCTGCCATCACTCAGATTCATCTCCAAAAACTGCTCCACCAACCTAATATACCCAGGCCCATTTCGATGAGTCGTTTTACCTTCGACGCGATTGTTGAATTATTAGGGCAACTGGGAAGTCGGACGTAGTTTAGTGGTAAGCGGTCAACAGGAGCTTTCCTTTTCACCCAAAGGAGAGGATGGACATAACCAAAAGGTTTCCACAGTACCCGTCAGACCACATGCCCCGTGCCAATTCGATCCACTCACGACTACCGTGTGATGCACGTGACCATGTTATGCAAATCAAAATGGTAGGATGTAAATGATTTCGCAAAATTCATATATCCGTTAAGAGTATCGCTTCGCATTCCAACGACAGATTTAAGCTGAGCGTCTCAAAATGCTAACATCGGTGCCCAGGTATACACCACTCTACTATAGACTAACCTGATCGACGTATTGAGATGCCCTTGTCTTGTGGGTAGGTAGAACGTGTGGAAGGACCGGTAGGTAGTGTGCAAGGGAAATATCACATAAAAGATTGCCAGCATTGCGTAATGACGTAACTGATCTAACTGAGATGTTTGTCAAGATCCACGGTATGCAGCCCACCCACTGTCTGACTTAACTATTCTTTTCCTTACCTGGTGGACCTGGAGTCAGATTGTTAGGGGTAGGGAATATTTAACATCCGAAAATCTGGTTCCAGGTTTGACATGCGTGTCCGGTGCCCGTGTCAGTGGTGTCATCCCTAGCATCACCCACCTACCATCTGCTTTTTTAATACTTGATTCAACAATGGGTGGTGCGTCGCTAATTTTTTTCTTTCTTTCTTTTCTTTCGCGGTTGTCCGCAGCTATAGCCATCTAGACCTTGCCTCTTGATAGCGCTTAAAATGTTTAATCATTCGTTTAATCATTGCATTTAATCATTGCATACCTTTTTTCATCGATTTTGTCACAGAGGTGACTAGAAAGATTCGGCGAGCATTGTTTGATTTGGTTTATAATGACGTTATTATTGTTTTGTTTTATTTATAAAATTAATGTCGATATAAAGGTTATCGGATTGAAAAGGAAGCATGAACACAAACCTGCAAGAACATGTTCAAGGTCGAGATAAAGAAAGGCAATCTTATCAAGCAGAAGCTCCAGCACTGATACGATAAGATAACAGTTGATAAGATTACACTTCATATATAAGGCTCCTTTAGTAAGAATAAAGACTTTTATCGGCTATCCTCTTCGGACCGGACAAAAGTGGTGCATCGGCCAAAGCATCAGAGCATACCAAGAAGAACGCAGCGAACCAAGCGAAGTGGACAAGGAAGAAGACCAGAGGATTCAGGTCAGATTCACCTTAACAGAAGTTCAACTTAAGTCTTGAATAGCGCGTTCTCTGGTAGTAAGCTCTACTGGTCATTACCCCACTTAAGCATTCACATCACTCAAAAATGACAACGACATTGAGAACGAGAAAAGGGGTACTGACCAGGCATCAGAACAATCTCATACATAGTCGCTAAACATTCTTGCTTGAGTGAGATTATAAACACGGAAGATGGTGAAGCATGCAAAGCGCGCTTCACTGAAATCAAGATGGCCGAAGTAGAAGTTAGAGCACTCCAAAACACCTTTGAGAAAGCACTTTTTGACTTCACTGCGGCTATAGATAATCTCGAAGAGGTTCCTTCGAAAGAAGAAGAAGAAAAAATTTCGGAATACTTAGCAAATGCTGAAAATATGATTTCAAAAACAACAGAATTTCAGAATTTCTGGTCAAACTTGAAATCAACAAAAGTAAGATAGCATCGATGTCTTCCGAAATCGCTGGCGTAGGGAGTACAGTCAGCAGTAGAAGCACAACAGCTCGAATAGAGTTACCAAAGATACCACTACCCCAGTTCAGCGGCAAAGCATGGGAGTGGGAGAGCTTCTGGAATTATTCGACGCAAGCGTGCACTCTTCACAACTTTCAGACCTCCAGAAGTTCAACTACCTTCTGAGAGCATTGAAAGGCGAAGCCAGAGAGGCGGTGGCCCGATTCCAAATAACGGCGGGCAATTACAACCTCGCGGTGAATCTTCTCAAAGAAAGATATGGAGATGCTCAGAGCATAATTACTAGCTTGCATCATCAACTGGAAAACTGGAGCGCCAGAAGCGCGCAGTTGAAGGATCAGCGCAAGCTTCACGATCAATTATCCACCATTACCGCTCAATTGGCTAACAAAGGTGAATCCCTTGATAGTCCATGGGTGTTATCGAAAAATTCTTTCAAAATTTTCGGAAACAATACAGCGTAACACACTGAGGGAGAAAGTCTCCTTGTCCCAAGACCAAAGCTGGACTTTGACAAAACTCATGACTACCCTCGATGATGTAATCAGACAAGGAGGAAGAGATTCAAAGGTGCATGCCCAGAAGAACTGAGAGTACCCCGCAATCTCTGAAGAATAAACCAGACTTCCAGTCAAGAAGTCGTCCACCATTCTGTTTCTATTGCGACAGCAAGGAGCATTGGTCAACGGAATGTTCCAAAATCATTACTCCTAAGGCACGCCTTGAGTACTTGAAGAAGAATAACCGTTGCATAGGCTGTGGGTCTAAGACTCACAGCTTCGCTGAATGCAAGGCTAAAGGGTGCATGCAGTGTGGAAAGAAGCACCACACCTCCACATGCTT